GTGGGTTTCCTCCAGGTGCTCTGACATGTTCTCCCTGTGTCAGTGTGGGTTTCCTCCAGGTGCTCCCACATGTTCTCCCCGTGTCAGAGTGGGTTTCCTCCAGGTGCTCTGACATGTTCTCCCTGTGTCAGCGTGGGTTTCCTCCAGGTGCTCCCACATGTTCTCCCCGAGTCACTGTCACTGTAAAAATGTAATATATTACTCATTACTCATCACGCTTTTCAAAAGAAATAACATTACTTATTACTTCACACTACCTGTAATATTACGTTTCAGTTACACCCTATAAAATTGTTAGCTCACGTTGTTGCATGAACGCATTACTTTTATTTTGAAAGAGACTGTATCAAACTGTACATTTCCTGTGAAAACAGAAGTGTATTTTGAAAACAGACAATGCATGTAACAGGCTGAAGTTGACACGGCGTCCCAGAACGTCAACAACCAACACACCCAGGGTACCTTGGACGTCATATGTGGACGTGGAAAGTCCATGACCAAACGTGGACATGTGATGAGGTCACAGTGAGGACGTGATGGATGCAGCGGCGACACTTGTTGTCATTGTTGTTATTACTGTCATTGGTAGTTTAATTGTTGTTGATCTGTTGGTATTGTTTGTTTTGTTTCCTCTGAGTTTTACTGATGTGTTTGTTTTACACTGTGATGTGATGTTTGTGTTCCAGGCCTGGAATATGAAACTGTGAAACTCCATGACTTTTCCAGGTTTTCCATGACCGAGGAGACTGTGTGTGTGTGTGTGTGTGTGCGTGTGTGTGTGTGTGTGTGTGTGTGTGTGTGTGTGTGTGTGTGTCTCGTCCTCTGTGGACAACATGTCTCCTCACTGATGACTCTGATGAAGGAGTGATGAAGAGTTTGGAGAATTCATGTGGAAACAGTTTGTGTTTTATTCTCAGAAGTGGTCTTGTGTCACACACACACACACACACACACAGATAGATGAGGAGCTGGAGGAGGTGACGTAGGGCCGTGAGGGTGACGTCAGCCCCTCTGTGTCTCGGGGTGTGTTTGTTTGTGAGAGGAAGAGGCTGGTTGGATGTTGGGCGGGGTCTGAGGAGACAGAGAGAGAGAAAACAGCGAAACCTCCCGACCCTCCTCCTGCTGCTGCTGCTGCTGCTGCTGCTGCTGCTGCTGCTGCTGCACGGACAAACGGAGAACAAGAGGAGGAAGAAGCACGGAGAGACAAACAGACGAAGACAGAGGGAGGGACAGACGGACGGACAGCCGGGAGGATGGGCCGGCGGAGCGGCCGTCGGTAGCGCTCTGTTTTCGGGGACGGAGCTCCAGGATGAGCGTAGCGCTGCAGGACCTTCGGAACACCGTGAGTACACACACACACACACACACACACACACACACACAGACACACAGACACACAGACGTAAGACAAGCGTATACCCGCAACATGCACGCGCCAGGACGCCCACGCGTCCGCGCAGCTGTACCGGCTGATGCTGATTACCTGTCAATCACTGTGATTGACTGTCAGACGGGTCCGATGGATCTGTGTGCCTGTGTGTGTGTGTGTGTGTGTGTGTGTGTGTGCAGCAACATTTTGCTGACGTCACTAATCAAACAGGCTGATCGATGATGAGCTGATCAACAGTCAGTGTGTATTTCACGCGCAGCTTCTGCGTGTTTCCGGTTCGTTTTTGCACCTTTTCCACCAGAAACAGTCAAATATATTTATTTCTATAGTTTTTATTTCTGAGCTCAGGTTTTAGGTTTCAGATGTTTGGAACCACAGAAGAAGAGAAAGAAGAGGAGACTTCCTGTGGGCAGATTGTTCCTCACATGTTTGACCTTTTAAAGGAAGGAAGGAAACATGTTGATCAAATGATCAGTTCAATAATTCATCACATGTGATCAGTGATTTATTTTCAGTAACAAGCTGCCACGCTCTATGCTTCAATTTATTATTTTTAATTATTTAAAAAATAACAATAACCAGGACGATGAAGTCAGGACACATAAAATCAAACTATTAAAAACAACCCGAAAATATAAACAACAACAATAAAACAGATCAGACAGGAGTTGTGCAAATCTGCAGGAAAGCCCAATCAGTCTTTTTTCAGCAAAATGCCGCCTACCTACTTTTGTTTATACAGAATGTGTCTTTTTCGGGGCAATGGGGGGCGTGAGCAAGTAACAAAACGTGTAGCTCAGCGTGTGACGTAAACAGTGACGTGGGAGGGAAGCCGCGGCTGGTCAGTCCTTCGGTGATTCTCTCGTAAGTCGGCCCGTTCTTCACCGTCCCCGTCATCTGACGGTTAATGGCCTCTTCGTTTGCGAGGACAAGGAGGGCGCGCAATTCCTTGTCTCCCCAGTTGCTCATCTTTACAGTGTCTGTCAGGTTTGTGTTTCCCTCTTGCTACTAGCTGCTCGCTAATTCCTGCTATCAGCTGTTTCCTGTTTATCCACCGCCAGTGGCTCGCACGTGCTGCGTCATCAACAGCTCCTCCCACAAGTCATCAACAGCTCCTCCCACAAGTCATCAACAGCCCCTCCCACAAGTCATCAACAGCTCCTCCCACAAGTCATCAACATCAACACCTTGGATCAACTCGCCAATCCGGCTCTGTGTGTCTAAACGCTCGCAGCTTGCCGGCAAAACGGCCCAACATTCGCCGAAAATCTGGCAGTGTAAAAGGGGCTATAGTTCAGTTATTTTCTGTATCTTTAAACTAGAGTAAAAAGAAGGAAGCTGCTGGAAAATAAAAGAAGTATAATTATTATTGCTCTCAGCGCAGCTGCAGATTTTCGATCAGTCGACCGGCAACAGTTTTAATAATCACTGATAGATGAGGTCATAATTTCAGCTGCTCATATTTTGGGTTATTTTATATTTTGGGTTTCACAGCAAAGAGAATTTCCATGCAGACAGGAATGTTCACAATTAGTTAATTAATGAACAGATTAATGGACTTATCTGACACTTTATTGACCACAAGATGAATTTATTAATAACTATTAATAATAACAAATATTTATCTATCTGGTGCCAACGTCAGAAAATAAATAAAAAACCTGCAGATTTTTAAGATTTATCTGAAACTTTCATTTCTGCCCTGAAACATCTTTTTAAGTTTCAGATGAATTTGTTCTGTTCATCATCATCATCATCATCATCATCATCATCATCATCATCATCATCATC